ACTAGTTGTGAGACTCAAAAGTGTCATTAGATCAGCAGTGTTAAGAGAGCAGCATCCATATGTGTATCTACTCTCTCTCATCCTTCCTCCAGCGTAAATGTGCTGTGATGGTGCCTTGTCCTTCACTGAGGCCAATAAACTAAACCCACGCGTAACTGAATATCCCCCAGCAGCCACACAGTAATAACAACTAAACAAATACGCATGTGAAATCACAATGTAAAGAAGAGGAATATTACAACAGCAGAGATGTATATCCCTAACCAACACCATTGGCTCTCACTCTCCAATACTTATTTCATTCCCAATGGAAAGGAAACCACACACACACACGTACAAAGCAAAATGTCCAGTCAAACAAAACCGTCAAGAACAAACAGGGGGAATGCTGGCACACCATGATGACAGGGTATAATCGGGGCAGTTCAAGTAGAGAAGCATTTGGGACTCTGTACTCCACTCTCCCATTCCCAAACCAGTGCTCAGTGTTCACCAAATGTATACCGTGGTACACACAACACACTGTAGACCTCTCCAGAATGAATCAGTTCCCGCAGAGAACACAGCAATCAAAGCAAACTCCTTAAACTATATAAAAGTTCATGTACAGTATCTATTCAACTATTTTGAACCAGCGTACAAAACGGTGGGAAAAAACGAAAAAAAGAAAAAGGCCCAATAATAAAAAGAAGTCCAAGCAAATATTTATGTTCATCCGACACTTTCGTCGCTTTCCCAACAATATATGTGTACTCCATTGTATACGGCAATAAACAGCGGGATTCTGCAGAATGCATATATAAAGAATTATTAATTTTCAGAAAATGAATATAAAATCACAGGAATAAATCATAAAAAGTTGAACGAAATATTCCAATGATATGAAGAATGCTGAAAAAAAAAAGAAAAGAAAGAAAACAGGCCCAATAATAAAAAAGGAGCCCAAGTTTATGTTTACTGTTTATCCGACACTTTCGTCGGTTTCCCACCATATATTTGCACTCCATTGTATATGACAACAAACAGTGGGATTCTGCAGAATGCATATATAAAGAATTATTAATTTTCAAAAAAAGAAAAAAATCATAGAAAAAAAATCATTAATAATTAAAAGAAATTTTCCAATGATATGAAGAATGCTGAAAAAGAAAAAAAGAAAAGAACGGCCAATGTATTGCAGTATATGGGATTCATTTCAAAGGACCGTAATGACCAAAAGTGTTTATTATTCTGAATATGGATGGAGCTCTTATGGGACCATCACAAAACCAACAACACACACACAAGAAGTGCAAGAGGGGCCATGTAGGAGGCGACGGTGCTGCTGTCAGTACCCAATACATCCGTTCCATTTGCATTTTTGGATTCTTCTTCCATTTGGCTCTCAGTTAAGTTCGTCCCGTTCAAAACAGTGTTTGGGGACTGTATTGCGTCTTCAGGGGCTGCTGGAGCACTTTCCCCTTGTGTATTGGTGGACGTTCCACTCTCAGTATTTGCCACGTCACCGCTTACTTCCGAATTAGTGCTCGAGTTGTTCTGATCTTTGGTTTCCTTCTCTTTCTCCTCCTGTTTGGGCTCTTCCACCACATCCTCAGACACATTAACTTCTGTATATGAAATATTAAATGGTTCGGTTTCCGGTAGCCCGGTACACACTTCTTCGTATTTGGGACAACGAATAATAGTTCCTTTCTTAAACACTGAACCATCCAGATTAGTAGTGCCATCATTTTCGCACACATGCCATGTTTCTTTGCTTTCCTGACCTTTGAGCTGTACACTCACCGTCTGCTTGTCATCCTCACACTTCACTTTTGCACAAATGCCTTGAACCTTCAGACCAGTTACATTATTTCCATCGTTGAACTGCAGTTCCTCCACATTCAGACACCGTGACATCTTGTCCACAATACTTCCAGGCATCAGTGTCTCATTACCTTTCTCGCACATGGTCTGTTGAAACGGCTTAATGATGGGACACTCTTTTATCATTTCACTCTGTTCACCAACAGTTTCAAAGAACTTGTACTCAGCAGGCATACCACGCGTGTTGTTGTCCTTGGAGCAGACACCAAGACCAAAGCGATCAGAAGTGCACTGTAATGTGGACTCACCTTCACTTTCCTTGCACAAGGTGTTAGGGAACTTCCCCAAGTGTTTTTCGACGTCTCCGCACGTACTTTTAAAGAGTCCACATTCAGATTGTTTCCCCCAACTCATCGGTTCTGCCATGCTGAAATTTGCTCTGTAGAAGGTCATGGAATGAAACACTGCAAGTGTCAGATTAGTATAGAACATTCCAGTGGGTTCACCAGTGTAATGACTCATCAATTCATCCTTTGCGATACGCCTCTCCCACAGGGAGGAAAAACTTGTGGCGTTATAATGCACAATCATTCCCCCGTAATCTTTACAGTTGTAATGCTCATTCATCTTTTCCTTCAAATCTTTGCCGGTCAGCACCCTTACATACTTCTTTACGCCGTTTACATCGAGAAGAGGATAAGGCATATTCTGCCCACCTATGTACAAGATCTCAAATCCAAGCCCAATCGCAATATCGCGCGCAGCCAAGCGAATATACTGCCTTGTGGCGGCGATCTCCTTTGGGAGAAAAGTGATGAGGGCAGATGTTGGTCGGCCTCCATAATTCTGCTCTTTAGTGCACTCATCAATTTTGGTAGGCTTTTGATGGAGATCCACATAAAGCATAAAATCAGCATTGGGAATACCATCCTTAAAATGATTTTCGGGCATTTTAAACTGCTGGCAATACTTTACAAATCTCTCAGTCGTGTCATTATAATTTTCTTTCCATAGTATCAGGTTATTCTCCACCCGTTTCACATTAAGGCGATCCCTGTGCAATTTAATCGCTTCAGGTAGGACCTCCTTAAAAAGAGTATGCATCCTCTTTGTTGTCATTTTATTTTCACCGGTACAGAGTTGTTTAAACCTTTCTTCAAGAGCGNATGTAGGAGGCGACGGTGCTGCTGTCAGTACCCAATACATCCGTTCCATTTGCATTTTTGGATTCTTCTTCCATTTGGCTCTCAGTTAAGTTCGTCCCGTTCAAAACAGTGTTTGGGGACTGTATTGCGTCTTCAGGGGCTGCTGGAGCACTTTCCCCCTGTGTATTGGTGGACGTTTCACCCTCAGTATTTGCCACGTCACCGCTTACTTCCGAATTAGTGCTCGAGTTGTTCTGATCTTTGGTTTCCTTCTCTTTCTCCTCCTGTTTGGGCTCTTCCACCACATCCTCAGACACATTAACTTCTGTATATGAAATATTAAATGGTTCGGTTTCCGGTAGCCCGGTACACACTTCTTCGTATTTGGGACAACGAATAATAGTTCCTTTCTTAAACACTGAACCATCCAGATTAGTAGTGCCATCATTTTCGCACACATGCCATGTTTCTTTGCTTTCCTGACCTTTGAGCTGTACACTCACCGTCTGCTTGTCATCCTCACACTTCACTTTTGCACAAATGCCTTGAACCTTCAGACCAGTTACATTATTTCCATCGTTGAACTGCAGTTCCTCCACATTCAGACACCGTGACATATTGCTCACAATACTTCCAGGCATAAATGTCTCATTACCAGTCTCGCACATGGTCTCTTGAAACGGCTTAATGATGGGACACTCTTTTATCATATCACTCTGTTCACCAACAATTTCAAAGAAGTTGTACTCATCGGGTATACCATGCTTGTTCGTGTTGTCCTTGGAGCAGACACCAAGACCAAAGCGATCAGAAGTGCACTTTAATACAGATTTATCTTCACCTTCATCGCAGAAAAATTTATTGTACTTCGGATCTTTAGCGAGTTCTGTACACTTGTTCGTAATGAATTCACATTCAGATTGATTCCCCCAACTCATCGGTTCTGCCATGCTGAAATTTGATTTGTAGAAAGACAATGCATCAAACACTCCAAGTGTCAGATTGGTGTAGAACATGCCAGTGGGTTCACCAGTGTACTGACTCATCAATTCATCCTTTGCAATGCGCATCTCCCACTCAGAAAAAATTGTTTTGCTTTCATAATGCAAAATCATTCCACCAGTACTGGAGCATTTGTAATGCTCATTCATCTTTTTCTTCACAATTTCACTGGCCAGCACCACGGAGTACTTCACTACGCCGTTTACTTGGAGATTAGACGCTTTCTGCCCAACCATGTACTTGTCCTCAAATCCAAGCCCAACCGCAATATCGCGTGCAGCCAATCGAATATACTGCCTTGTGGCGACGATCTCCTTTGGGACAAAAGTGATGCGGGCAGATGTCGGTCGGTCTCCATTTTTGTTGTCTTTAGTGCAATCATCAACTTTGGTATACACTGGATGAAGATCCACATAAAGCATAAAATCAGCATCGGGAATACCCTCGTTAAAATGATTTTCGGGCATTTTTAACTGCTGGCAATACTTTCCAAACGGTTCATCGGGGGCATTATATTCCGCTTTCCACAGAATCAGGTTATTCTCCACCCGTTTCACATTCAGACGATCCCTGTGCAATTTAATCGCTTCAGGTAGGACCTCCTTAAAAAGAGTATGCATCCTCTTTGTCGTCATTTTATTTTCACCCTCACAGAGTTGTTTAAACCTTTTTTCAAGTTGTTCTCTAAGTGGAGGTATATCGTACTTCGACGACATTTCTTTTGTATTGCAGTAGTTCATTATTTCCTCCACACGTTCTGTATACACAGCAATGCGGATGGGCTTCCATTTCTCATCATCAGAAGAGACGGTGTACGCCTGTAGAGCACTTTGTCCTTTCTGTGGTAACTGCTGCACAACAGCAGCCAAACACCCGCAGCTGTAGTACAACAGGAACAGTGCAGTCCACAGGAGGTGACGCATGGAGTGTTTCTCCATTTTGTAGTGGTGTGAATATATTAGTTTGTGTGTTGCTTTGCTAGGGTACACACAGTAAATAAAAAAAAGAAGAGGAAGAAGAGGGAGAAAAAAAAAGTAAGCATGAGGAGATATTATATTGGATCTAGCAAAGAATTAGACACATGTATACACATCAACAGTAATACTCTCAGAAAGAGAAAAATGATAGTTATGCCAAAAAGTAGAATGAGAAAAGATATCAATATACCCTCTCGTGGTTCACATACATACCAACAGAATCAACAACAATGCATTGTGAGCAGATTTGGTATTTTATTGTAATTGTAAGAAATGCAGAGAATAATAAATAGTCATAATAATAAGTGCTGTACTGCCTTTAAACAAGTGAAAAAGATAGAAAGAATCCATGGAATGAGTGAATGATACCATGTGTTCAGATCTGTCCTTTGTATTAGATAAAAACTGTGAAACTCATGCTTAACTAACCCACCAACTCCATTTGATGATAATTTATTTTTTCTTTTGCCCATCCATGTCAGGAGGAGAGGAGCATAATAATAATAAAAAAAATACACATCAGAAGAGCCATGAAATAATAGAAGAGGGGATTATATGAAATATTCCATCAGCTACAAAAATACTCCTGTACTAATTACCATACCCACAACACATACACAGAACACTATCAAAAGAGCACTACTCACATTTCCAAGAGAAAGTAACATGTACAACACACTGCTTTTTAACTCTGTTTATTCAGTAGAGATCTCAATTCAGTATCACTCCTCAGTGATTCACTCCCTGTAGTAGTTATTTTTGTTGTTTTTCCCCCTGTAGAATAACAGTAATCCCATGCATATGGCGTTGTGTACGCCTTCTATTAATACTCTTTCAGTAGGAATGATTTTCCTTTCACCACAACAGAGACATTCATTTCCACTTGTGTTGTAGTTATCAATAAAAGGCGTAGAACACCCCTGCACTGAGAAATAGGATTGCAATGTATCCCCCAAAGAGAGAGATTT